CAGGCAAGATTATGGGCTATAATTCCAAGGTGGCCTGTTGACAGAGAGCATAGTAGATGGCAAGGGGCACATCTGTGTCCCAGAACAGTGGTAAAGCTTAGGCTCTCCTTGCAACCAGTTCATATCAATTTTTTTCAGTAGTCACTCTTTAAAAAAATAAATACTCCATGCACTGACATGTTACTGGGTTTGTGAACAGAACAAATTGCTTACCAATGTTTATTATCCCTGACCAACATATTATAAAATATGCAATAAAATACGGTGAAATTATTTGCAGCTTAATTAAAGAAAACAAAATGTAAGTATGGAACCTGGATACTATATATATATATATATATATATATATATATATATTTGTTTGTTTGTTTGTTTTTGGTTTTTGTTTTTTTGAGACAGGGTCTTGTTATGTAGTTCAGGGTGGCCTTGAGCTCACTTCATAACCCAGGCTGGCCTTGAACTTGCAGTGAACCTCTAGCCTCAGCCTCTGAGTGCTGGTATTACAAATGTGTGCCACTGTGACCTGCTTTATATTTGTTTTGGGACTACATGAAAGTTACCTGAATACCAGGCTCACTCTTATTCCAGGTCCTAATTCTTGCTCTATTAACTATATGGCTCAGTACCTTGTACATACTGCAGAAGAAAGTCAGTTTCTCAGGAAGATCTAGTTGTCAACCTGGGCAGGGTGAACACATAGAAAGTAGAGGGGACACCCAGAGTTCACACAGCTCAGCTTGTTAGAAGGGAGGCCCAGGAGTCACGTAAGGCAGAGCTCAGAGGAAGTAGCTCTGATCACATAATAATAGTATTATATTAATGAGAGGATAAGCAGAAGATTAATGCACTTGAGAATAAATGCAAATGTGAAAGGGAAGGGCAGCATAGTTTAATTACTATAATTGGTCTTAAATTTTTGGCTTGAGCTTTGTTGGAAGACATTTTCTTTACCAATACTGACTATATGTACCAGAACACTGATACTAGGTGTTCTAGTGGGAAGGGGTCCCTGGTAAAGTTCTAGCATAATGTGACTACCCAGCTGCGAGGTAGGCAGCATCTATCTATCTATCTATTTATTTATTTATCTTTTCAAAACAGGATCTCGCTATGCATTTCAGGCCTGGCCTTGAACACATTTTGTAGCCCAGGCTGGCCTTGAACTTGCAGTGATCCTCCTGCCTCAGCCTTTGGAGTGCTGGGATTACAGGTGTGCACCACCGTGTCTGGCCAGCATTTTATTTTAGTTGTATGTAATGTATTGTATATATTTGCTGAAGGTCGGTTGCTTTCCTTAAGATAAATTGGTGGTCCTGGACACTGTATTGTGTTTGTTGTAATATAAAAATACACTATCATAGAATCTTGTTAAATACACACTGATTCAAATATGTTTAAGGTTTTATGAGTCATAGACTCTATTTTTGATTCTGTTTCATTTCATTGTCCTGAAGTTGTTCCTAAAGTTTTTTCAGTGCTTGGGGTGGAAATCAGGGCCTTGCTATTTACAGAGTTACCTTTTCAGCCCTGAAATTACTAATTTTAACTACGAGAGCACGGAAAACTTAAAATAGATTGTTTGTTCATAGTGAATCATCCTTTCCCCCATCCAACTATCTAATTGAAAAGGAAAGATAAAAATGAAGTCAAATGGATAAATTTTTGAATTTTTTAAATTAAACTTTCAGATTTTTTTTTTTGTCTTTTTCCTTTTTATCAGTACTGGGGATCTAACTCATGACTGCCTGCTTGCAAGGCAGGCGCTTATGCCACTGAGCTAAATCTCCAGCCCCTAAACTTTCAGATCGTATAATACAATATAATACATGTATTATACATGTAATACATGTAAGAACTATCAGATCTTCTTATAATACATTAATACAAGTAATAATAATTGTTTTAAAAAAGCATTGGTAATATTTTAGATTTAAATATGGAAATTAACAGGTTAATTTCCTGCAATCCCAGAAGAGAGACATAAGCAGGACTCATGACTATAGTAACTATCTTTGTTCATATATAATCCTTCAAGATGAAATATACAAATAATGTAATAGGATATGTCTCCAGTTGCTTCTGCAATAAAATACATCAACTAAACCTGTCTGTCAAGTAGCTTTAAACTGAATTAGCCAGGCATGGTGGTGTCTGCCTATAATCCCAGCACTCAGGAGGCCGAGGCAGGAGAATTGCTGTGAGTTCAAGGCCATTCTGAGTTTCATACAAAGACCCTATCTCAACCCCCCCACATCACCCCTCTAAAAATACTGAATTAACTTGTACATAGAATTAATAAATTGCTATCCTGCTTTAAGTGGTAACTGATGTCTAATATTGTTTTGATTTTGCCTTATGCAAAAAAAGAGTACCTAATAAAATGAAGCAAAACAACAAAAACCCCCACCATCATCCTATGTAATACAGTATTGTAAAATCCACAATCAGTTGCTTGTTTACTTTCCCCTCAATATCCAGTTGTCACTAGGAAAGATAGCACAGTTTCTTTAAACTAGGAATGGAGTAACGTGTCTCATGTACATGTAATTCAAAACATTGTTTTTCATGACGCCATCTCTTGGAAATAGCAAATTCAAACATCTTGAAATTTAATAAAGGAAAAAGTAAGGGATTTTACAAATAAATGCTGAGACTTAGATTACTGACTTCTTTCAGGATAATTCTTAATAATTGTAGAATAGGTCAGGGATTTAGCTTGGTGGCACAGTACTTGCCTGGCAAGCATGAGGTCCTGAGTTCAATTCCTAGTATCCCCCTCCCCCCAAATTGTACAACAGTATCCATTTAATTAATTTTTGAAGTGTTGGGAATTCAACCCAGGCCCAGGCATGCATTCTACCACTGAACTTATATCCCTAACCTTTACAGTATAAATTTAAAAAAAATTAATTTTCCTTTAGCCAGTAATGATTGAGTGCTCAAGTAATAAGTAGAATTTTATTTTCTTTTGTTGTGGTTTAACTTGAAAATGAAGGTTTTATTCACTTTATTTCAAAAATTTTGAGTTTAAAAAGTTTCTGTGGGGGCTATTCTCCAAAGCTATTTAAACAGTCAACTTAAAACAATCTTTTTCTATTTACTATCTTACAGAAAGAAAAGTTACCCTAGGAAATAAAAAGGAGTAATATTGTTGTGTATTCCTGCTTTTAAAAATTAGTTTTCCTATGTATTAATGATTTTGGAAGAAGGTTGGTGCCATGGAAAGAAAACTATAACGTTTGTGTGAGAATACCCCCAAATTTCTATCTTAATTTTCAAAGCCACAATATTAACCATTATGTACAACAGGGGAAAAAGGGGAAACATTCCTCCTGGGCACCTGAGATTTCATGGTATTATACTGTCATTTCCATTCCCTTGCCCCTCAGCCTCTGTAATTACCACTCTGTGTTTCTATGAGTTTGGTTGTCTTAGATTCCATATCCAAGTAAGAACTTGTGGCATTCACCTTTTGTGATTGACATTTCACTTATGTTATTTGAGGTGATGGATACTTGACTAGCTTGAGTTAGTTATTTCACATTATATTCATAGATCATAACATCACTTGTACCTTAAAAGAGATAGGTAGAATACTTTTGGCACATAAGTTTTAGCTGTTCTGAAACCTTATATCACTTCACAGGCTTAATAAGACATTCTTGTAAATTAAAATTTTATTGAGGGCACTAAACCCTGCAGGGTTGACCTGGCTGTTCATCCAGGACTGACGAACAGTTCTCTACAGTCCATTTGTAGTTTTTCCACAAATTAGTTGTTAGTACTAACTACAAACTTAGCAATCACTGATAATGATAAGAACCCCTTTTTTCCAACATAATATCAGTATATTTGAAAATCCATAATATCAGTATATTTGAAAATAGTAGGGAGAATTCTGTAAGATATTTAGGACTAAAACGTCAGAAAATATGTAATTCATTATTTGAATGATACCCTAATTTTGTTTCCTCTCCTAATTCTCTATAACTACAACATATCTGTAAACCCAGCTTTTAAGAAAACTATGAAAGACTATATGAGAAATGTTTTGGATCTGTGCAAATAAAATACTTCATCCTACATTGCATGCTCTGAAACATTATTTAATCAAAATAAAATTTTATGCCATTAACTCTCTCGCCAAATAAACTACTTGTAGACTCCTAAAGTAATTTTTATTATTTTTAAAAATACTTTTGATGTGTTAAAAACTGTATCGCAAATTGGCAGCTGAATTTTTGAGTAGAAAACAATTCATTATTCTTTAGGCTTGATTTTCTGTAAGTAAACAATGATATTTACATCAGTATTTTACCTTGTTCTTTGAGACACAGTAGTAATACAAAATGTTTATTTGTACAATTATCTTTGTTTCCGCTGAGCCTACACTGTCCCAGACACTGTGGCACACAAGGGCTACAAAAGTGGATATAAGCTGGGTATGGTAACACATTCCTGTATTCCCAGCATGTTGGGAGCAGTTTGAGCTCAAATTGACTGACCCTGTTTAAAAAACACAAAGCTTGGGACAGTAGCCTGTTACCAGCACCCATGGGTTGGAGTTGGGCAGGCAACCAAATAACCTCTACTACAGGCCTTTGGTGAGTTTACTGTTACCACAGGAAAGAGAGGGAGAAAAAATTCCATGCAAGAGCACTGTGTAAGGCATCATAGAAGAGGGGCTGTAGGTTCAGCCTCAGGATGAGATAAGGCTTATTCTGATCAGTTACTTAGTCACCAGCAGTCATTTGGCAGTTAGCTAGTTCCGTAAGCAGAACCAACCTAGCAGGGCACACACTAAAAAGATGAATGAAGGATAATGTAGGAGATGGAGAGAAAACTGCATGCGGTGGCACAAGGGGACAGAATATAGCCTGTTTAGGAGACTCCAAGATTAGCTTGGCTGGATGATAAATTGGTACATAAAAGGGCCATTATTATGGTTTAAATGTGTGTGCTCCCAAAACATGCCTTAGAAACTTAATGCCCAAATGCAGTTTTGGGAGGTGGGACCTAATGGGAAGTGTTTAGATATTGAGGACTTCATGAGCTGACTTAGATTCTGAAAGTGTTTGAGGCAAATGAAGATCCACTGTTTGTAAATTAAGGAAAAAGCTTTGGAGCCAGATAGACTTATTTTGCACATCATAGAATGTGCATCCTCTGACAGCTAGCATGTTATTCACTAAAATAACACCTTCTGGTCTGGAGATTTAGTTCAGTGGCAGAGGGCTTGCCTAGCATGCCCAAAGCCTTGGGTTCAATACCCAACACCACAAAAATCCAAAACAAAAACAAACTAAAATTCCATGCTTTCTTAGATTCAAGTGTAAAGTATTTTAAAATGTGCTTGATACAAATTATGTGTCAATAAACACCTCTTTCTTCCCAATAAGATATTGGGAAGGTTCTCAACTAACCTTCCCCAGTATGGTAATACATCAACGAGGAATAAGATGCTGACAGAGATTTGTAAAATTTACTCAAAGGCATCCTTATAGATCTTTCCTCTGAATTTTTCTTCCATTTTTTCTCTTTTTAAGTATATAGTCAGAAGATGGGATGCTTAAAAGGACAGTGAATGTATACATTTTATGTTTACTTCCTATGATAAATATATATGCAGCTTTTACAAATTGTTGGAATTATTTATCAATAATTATTATGAAGGATGAAAGAAGTGAATCTTTTTGAACTCTCAGCATTTCTCAGGAGTTAGTGGTAAGTTGAAGGGCATATGTTTTTTAAACCAAAATATCTTAGAATTCAAGGTGTATGATTTTTTCTTTATTGAAACAGTGAAATATTAGTTGTTTCAATGCTATAATGAACTAAGCAACACGGGACAGTAAACCCAAAAGCAGTGCACCCTTAGTTTGGTCAGCAGTTAATAAGATTTTCCATCATTTTCAACAGTTTTATGTTCCATCTACTTTTTCACCAATCTTTTGGGAACTATTCCAAGATAATTTACTAGGTAAGGGCATCTATTTTCTAAGAGATATTTACAGTACTTCCTGGAGGTATCAATGAAATAATCAGATAACTTTTAACAGAGATAAATACCATTTAGGATAAAGCCATGTAGCCATTAGTATTAAGAGCTTCTCACAGGGCCCTACCTACATTAAGAAACCATACTCTTACCTCCCTTTTTACTGAGGGCCACAAATTATTTTGTTAGTGTTCCCATTACTGCACTGTTACAAAAAACAACTCAGAAGTACAAAGAATCATGAAACCTTTTCAAGTGGCAATTCATGGGGAGGGAGTTTCTGTATCCTATTTTAAATAGATAAATCACATTACTAAAGTTAACTGCTACAGCTGCTCAGATTGAAATACACCAGTTTATTCATTCTACTGTTTGATTTTGACTACATCCAGAAAACTCCGTCAACTAATCCTTAATGGAATAAGAGTATCAGTACTTGCAGGCCAGCTGCTCTATATCATGAAAGGATCAGGGATTTCGGAGTATAGGGGCAGACCTGTTTTCCCATGGGCTGCTTTCCGCTTTGTTGCCTGATGGAGCTGGGCGAGTCTCCAGTGCTACCAGACAGTACTATTTTGCATGACTTTCTGTGCCCTGCACAGTGAGCTGTGCACTGGAAATCTTGGGTCCCTGATGAAACTCATTCAAACTCTCCCAGCTACTCATCAATCCTTAGGATTTCTTCCAGCTTTCAGAGATTATGGTCCACTTCCTGGGTTTATCCGGAGCTTCTCCAAGACCAGCCCCGGGAACATGATGATTACCCCCACTCAAATGCTAATCACTGCGCCACCAGCTCCAGACTGCAGGATACCCTTGTGAAGAAGATTCAGAGGCAGCCAGGGTGATCTAAGGACTTCGCATGCACTTGCCATCAGAAAATCTTGAATAGTAATTAACACCTGGAACTTCACACATGCCTAAACTTGTTGGTGATAAATGTGCCCCACCTCTCAGCATTTGGCTTCACAATGAGTGTTGAGGGCAGACATTGATTCACAAAAAAGGTCTATGAATTTTTTCTTCATTGGCTCCTTCTCATTCCCAGGAGTCCCGCTAGATAGGAAGGCTCTGCACTGCACCACATTTGTAGGTGACACGAACCAGGTTGGGGTGGGGTACTGGGGGGGGGGGAGTCTTCAGGAGCACCTCTGGGAGCCTGTCTTTAGTCCCCAGAGGCCGCACGCAGATATCGAGCGACGTCGCGGTGGCCTTGCTGCTCTGCCAGGTCCACGGGCAAGCGACCCCAGGCATCACGCACGTCCAGCTGTGCCCCAGCCCGGTGCAATGCCACCAGCGTGTCCAAGAAGCCTTCCCGGGCAGCATCGTGTACGGGTCGGGTGAGCGTGGCCGGGTCTGCGCAGTTGGGCTCCGCTCCACGGAGCAGCAGGAGCTCCGCCACAGGGGCACTGCCCATCATCATGACCTGGAGGGAGGGAGCAGAGTGGTCAGTTGGAAGGTGTGGGACCCTGGGAGGCTGGGCACCTGGGCGCAGAGCCAGTTAAAAGAAATGGGTGTGTACCTTGGGGTATCCCACCAAAGCGGAGGCGCGTACAAGCCTTGTGGCTAGGATTCTCTTCATTTGCTTCCCTCTCCTACTTAAACTCTTGTAGTCTACTTTATTCCCCAAATTATATTTCATTCTCCAAACGTGCGGAAACAAAGAACTAATGGTAAAGGGATTATCATTGTGGTAAAAATTCTTGATTTTCATTGGAACAAGAAATTGATTTTGTTAAATAATTTATGGGTTGAGTTAAATTTAAATGGCATATATATATATACATATATATACATATATATGTATATATATGTATATATATATATATATTTTTTTTTTTTGAGGCAGTCTTACTATTTTTTAGGCTGGCCACGAATTCCAGCAATCCTACTGCTTCATCTTCCCAGAGGTTTGGGATTACTGGCTTTAAGTAGTTTTTAAAGTCTTAAATGGTATTGCTTGTTGCTTTTTCTGCTCTCCTCTCCATTACTGTAGGTATAAAAGTATTTATTAGGTAATCAACTGGCATTTTAAAGATATTAGATTGATGTAATAAGGTAGAAAATAGCAAACAACTAAGTTTTTAAAAAAATTTACTTTGTTCTCATAGCAATCCGGTGGAAAGTTTGCTTTTGCATTATTAAATGTGCCTGTGCTCATAAAAGATCATAATCTAATAATTTGAGCCAAAGTTTGAGTAAAAGAGAAAAAGTAAAGAGAAAATGATTTTAAGTTAATAGTATACATGTGGGCTAAATTTTGAGTGTAAAATATTTAATATAAGACGTAAAATTACCACTATGTTTACATTGTACAAGGCTTAATAATTACCATGATTGTATATTAAGCAGCAAATGTTTTTCTCCATAAAAAGAATTTGGAGCTTAGCAGTTAGATCAGAAGGATGTATAATTTTTATTAAAAAACAATGTTTATAGCATCCATTTGTGTACATGTACATTAGGCACTCATTTGCTTTTATGTTAATAATAAAAATAATTTTTGGTAACTAAATCTCAAGATCAGTCATTTGTTTTGTAGGTTTAAATGCTTTCAAATGTACCATGGGTTGAAAGGCAGTAAATGTCTAACTTCTTTGTCTCATTCACATAAAACAAAAATCCATTTTCTCCCTTAAAGACTATGAGAACTGTAAGTTATCATTTCTAGTAATAATGTAAAGGCTATCTTACACATAGAGGGAAGGGGAAAATAGTGGTTGTCAGTATCTCAGAATATGGTGAACTAAAATTGTAAATAAGAAAACTTGTTTGAATAATTAATAACATTTTAAGTCTCTAAGAACCACTTTACAATATTTTTGTTGCTTTAAAATGTCCCTTGTTATACCAGTTTTCTAAGGTCTTAAAAGGAATGGGCACTTCCCTTAAAATGAAACTTATTAACAAAACCCTTAATATCCACTTAGTTCTAGAGAGTGATAATGGATGAGTATCAAATTTGACCATAAGAGTCAAAGTAATGTACACAATCATCTCACATTTTTTAATTACCTGACATTTAAAGGAATTAAAGCATTATTAAAGCAGAATTAGTAGTTGAAAATCTGAATGGGTATATTAACAATGGAGAGACTAATTGTTTATGAAATCCCTCTGCCCTTCAAAACGCACCTTACAGTTGCTGTAGGAATGTTTTTGTATTTCAAATACTGAGCGTGGTAAACAAAAACTTAGAAGCATATTTTTTTCTTCTTTGTATCACTTAAGAGATACTACCAACATAAAATAAAAGGAATTAAATACCGTAGTTGGGGAATCTTGTTTAATTTCTTTGAATTGGACTAGTCTTTGTGAGGAAAAAAGCTCAAACATTTCAAAGAGCTGTTTAAAATTAAGTTTACAGTGAGTATTTTTCATGTAACATGATTTTGTGGAATTCCTTACATCTAATCTAGATTGTGCAACTTGTAATTTATTATCTTTACTGTAGAAAGTAGACGGACAAAACAGTCCCCATCCCTGACTTTACCCTTTCCCCAATGCTCCCAATGAATCTCTCCCTTGCATCTCTCATAAGATGGCAGAACAAATACTGATTCCTTTTTCCATAATTAAAAACAAATCTAGGGCTAGGGGTGTAGCTGAGTGGTAAAGCACTTGCCTAGTATGTCTCATGCCTAAGTTCGATCCCGAAACTGCAACAAATGGAAGCAGTTTTTTTCTCCCTTCCCCTTCCAATTCCTTCTTGTGGGATTTCTGCTGGGTAAAACCCTGCCTCAGCCTGAGCTCCGCGCTTGCAGCAGGAGAGACTGCTACCCAGGTCTAGGGCAGTGGAGGTTAGGGCACAGGAGCAACCCGCGGAGGCGCATCGTGCGCCCCCTGCCGGCGAGGTCCGGGGCCCAGCTACCTGGATCGGGCGCCTCCCGAAGCGATTAACTGCGTTGGGATCTGCACCGGCGTCCAGGAGCTGCCGCACCTTCTCCACTTGCCCTCGCGCTGCGGCGCTGGCCAGGTCCGCATCGCCGCCGCCACCACCGAGCGCGGCCTTGTCCTCCTCTCGCATTGCGCAGCCTTCCAACCCAGTGCGGCCCGGATAATCCACTGCTGACGCTGTGTTGAGCGACACTCTTTCCTTCGCCACCCGGTGCGCTGCCCTCACGGGAGAGCCCCGTCAGCTGCGGCACCGTCGCAGTCTTGCTGAGACTTGGTGGCCTTGCAGGGGCCGAGGGGCCGTGGTTAGCTCCGAGCTTTTCCTATGCCCGAGAACCTGCGGACGCGCTCCTGTCCTTCCCAGGAAGAGAGCCTCGCGCGCCGCCCAGCTCCGTTGGCCTGGCGAGCCGGCTTGGAATGAACTGGGCTCCCAGGGGCGCCGGGCGGCCCGGATCGCCCCGCCCCCTTAAGCCCCGCCCCGAAGCACGCCCCCTGCCGGGGACTGGGCCGTGTCTTCCTCCGGTCCGCGCAGCGCCTCCCACTGGGTCGGCAGGGAGGCCAGGCCCGCAGCCGGTGACGTCACAGCGGCGGGAGCAGGGCAGTGTGGGGCCCGGGTGGGAGACGCGGGTGGGAAGTCCCTCCAGAGAGTTCTGGGACGCATGCGCTGCAGGGGCCGGGGCGCTCCGGGCACGCTCGCGGCGCTGCGGACTGCGAGTCCAGTGCAGCCGGGCTGAGACTGAAAAAGTTAGTTCAGGATACTCGTCTCCGATCCCCAGCAGGCGGAGCAGAGGACTTCTGTTATTTCAGCGCGAGGCCAACCAGTTTTATTCTGGAGAAGTTAGTCCCCCTGTAATCAAAAGGCTGAGAGAAAATCTTTGAAAGTAATGTACTTTATCCAAAGATCTGAAAGTGACAGTTTGGCGCCTGGCACGCAGAGTGAGCGCATCCCCAGGCAACGCTGTGGCCTCGCAAGCTGCACAGCGTGCATGATCTTAAGCAGTTTTCCTCTGGGTGGTTCCTCCTTTACTAGAATTGGCTAACCAGGAAAAATAGTGAAAACCCCTCCAAGAATCCGGGTCTGCATTTTTTAAAACATTGAATTATGGATACATTCCTCAAGTAAATAAAAGTTCAGCAGGTTCTCGTGAGTCCAGGAAGTAGTGCACCCTAACTAGCATAATGAGACTCCTTCTCAATAATACAATAAATAAATACATAAATAAATTCCGTGAGCAGACAAAAATCCCAAATAGCAATGCCAGAAAAACTAAGATTGCAGTTTCCTGTTATCAGTACAGTGATTTTTTTCTTTATGCGTTTACCTAAACTCACATCAGTACGTATTTGGTTTTTATTTATTATGAGTAATGAAAGACATTTTTACAGTATTAATGAAACACAATAAAACACTGGTGTGGTACTGGGCCTGACATTAAACAGGCTGAACCTGTCATTAAATGCTCTTCTGAAGAATTAAAGGCTGAGTGCTTCTTTCTCTCCTGATCTTCCTCCGTAAGTTTGACTCAACATGTTTATTGCTTCAAAGAATTAAAATATTACAACTGATACTATATTGAAATCAGAAGAGAACCACACATTATATGTTACCTAAAACCACGAGAGCAGACTTCTCTCCACACTGAACACTTCTTATTTACAGGATCACCTGAGTGCTGTGCTTAATAGGAAGGTCAATCCCTTTTTAATTCAAAACTGAGAGAACATGCTTTTCCCAACAGATCTTTAGTTCAGACTTCCCCAGCAGGATAAGAGAAAGCTGTCTTGTCATTAGGAGTGGTGGTTGGCGAGGATGGTCTACTCTTTAAACCTCAACAGGGCTGAAATTTAACTGGATACAGAAGGGGAAGGGGAAAGTATTAATTCCAACTTCTCCGCTGTTTCCATCCTGCCTCCATTTCTTGGTTTTCAGTTTCTTAATTTCTTTAACTTTTACTCTTATTTGAACTTCCATATTTGTCTGGAGAAATGTCCTTTTATTAGTTGTTGACCACTTCATTCTTAAGTTTGGGGAGAGGAATAGTAATCTCCTTTTAGAGGAGAAATATAGACAAGCTGTTTTTGTCTGTCTTGGGAACCAGTCATCGTGCTCAGGTAGAATGAGTGGAGGGAGAAATGGATGGGTAGTGGGAAACCAGAACTTTTAAAATAAATGACGTTGGTATATTGCCAGTACATGGGAGGCTGAGTCATCAGACTGATGTGAATGGATGTGGTGACAAATGGATATTTTCATCAGAAAAGTCTATTTTGAAATTTAAGGGACAGTGCCATGTAACATAGAAGTTTGACTTTTTTTTTTTTTTTTTTTTTTTTTGGTACCGGGGATTGAACTTGTGACCTTGCACTTGCCAGGCAGGTACTTACACCACTGAGCTAAATCCTTGGCCCCAGAAGATTGACTTTTAAAAGTGTTGTTGGAAAGAAAAATGTTGTTGGAACCTTCTTTCTAATGGATACAGTAATTAAATTTAGTTCAGCAAAACCTAACTCAACATGTCATATTCAGGAGCTCACAGTTTAGTAACATACGGACCCTAATTTTTAAGAAAGTCTTCACAATTCCTTAAAAACTAGGATTAGAAGTTCCATTTGACCCAGCTATTCTCTTTCTGAGTATCTTCCCAGAAGAATTGAAAGCACACCACAGAAATATACGTGCACCCACATTTCTAGGAACACAATTTTTGCAAAATCTTGGAAACAACCCAAATACCCATCAACTGAGGAGTAGTTAAGAAAGGTGTGGTTTTAAAAATGTATAGTGGAGTCCTACTCAGCCATAAAGAAGGATGAACTTGTGACTTGTATAGGTAAATGGATGCAACTCGAGAACGTACTTGTAAGTGAAATAGATCAGACCTACACGTGTTAACATCATACTGTATCACTAGTGTGAGAAACTGAATGAGTAAATTAGATTTAAAATGTACAATAGATATTGTAATTTGGGAAAGAAATTTTCAAAAGAAAAGAGAAACTGAGATGGAGGAAAAGGAAAGGGAAGGAAAAGAAAAGAATTGTGTATAATATACAAATAATATATGTATATTATATATATAAATAATAGTATATAGTTATCAACTAGTTTTTCTTAGTTCATTGAAAAGATTTGAATTTATATTGTTTGGACATATTTCATGCTTATACTCTGAGTAACTGCTATGAAGATAGCAATATGCAATGTATCAGTTATTATTACTGCCCTATTAGCTTGTCTTGAAACTGTTTTATTGTTATTTTTTCTTTCTCTCTTTAAAATAAAAAAGAATAAAAAAGGAAGTCTCCAGAGTGACACCAAAATCTGATAGAGAATTTCACTTTAATACTATAGCTTTTTTGACAGATACATCTGTATGATCATTTGAGATTAAAAAAGGGGAAAATAAAAAGTAAAATTAAAAAAAGAGAGAAACAACTTAGAGTAAAGGTGCAGGGAGTCTTTTAGAATAAGAATCAACTGAAGAACCTCTTTAAAAAATAAAATCAGAAGTAACCTGGTTCCTGTGCTCTCACTTTGAGCTTTGAGTTTCTTTGCAACTTATAAAAAGATCAGGAAAAGAGAGTGTGTAACAGTTTTGGAGTTACTTTCTTAAGTGGTAGGTATGGCAAATATGTTTGGAGAAATTATTGTTCCTAGATATGGTACATACATGTAATCTCAGCACTCTGGGAGGCTAAATTAGGAAGATTTCAAGTTTGAACTCAGCCTGGATAACTTAATGAGACTCTGTCTCAAGGTTAAATGTAAAGAGGGGCTTGGGAATGTAGGTCATTGTGAAGGCCCTGGGTTCAACCTCCATTATCACATTATTAATTAATTCATAAAAATAGATTGGAATTGATAAGAGAATGGAAAGGAATAATTTTTCTTTGCAGTACACATGGAAGAAATGCAATAAGACAGGGGGGACATCAGTAAACACAACAGCTGAGAGTTTTCCAAGAGGCAGATATGTGAGCTTCACTAAACAAGGTGACTAAAAAGAATTTTGTGCATGACAAATGTTGCAGGGGCAGTCTCGGATGCTAGCACCACGGACAGCTCCTCCTTGATCCGCTTGGATGGGTGGTCCTAACCCGCTCCAAACTGAGAATCTAAAAGCTTCAAAACTGATTTTCCAATGCTTTTTGTTTCTCTTTGAAATAAAAATGAAGTTACATAGAAAATCAGTGGACTTATCTGCAAAAGTGACCTGTTCAACCTAGTTTCCAAATCTAATTGAGTTATGTAATATTCTCTCTATAGAAAATAGTGTTTTGTACATTTACCGAAAGGGCAGAAAATCACCCTTCCAGGTATTCTTTTTTAGGTATTACTTCACTTAAGTTTCATAAAACTTTTGGGCCACACCCATATTGGCTTTGCAGATAAGACTAAAAGATCAGAGAAGCTGACTAATTTATATACTAGTAGCTAATGATGGTTGGAAGTGGGTCTAACTTGTGTGACTTGAGAGCCTCTCTCCTTAACACTAAATAGTATATAGAAGCAGCCACAGAAGGTTTAACTGGAAACAAAAGCATAAAATTGGGTCGTAATTTTTTTATACATTGTGTTTTCCAGATGGCTCACTTCATAGCTCACCTTTAATGGACTTCAAAGATGACATTTCACATGTAATAGAATAGTACACTTGTCTTGGGCAATTGAGTTGAGATAATGAAACACTTTCTTCTATCTGAAGACCAGGTATCTATAGGGTGAAAAACAATATGCTGTTAATGTTTTAAACATGTAAAAGATGAAGTGAGTGGAAATACTGATGAAACTTGGAATTATAACAGCCATGTCATTAATAGGGTGCAGAATTTATAAGCTGGAAGAGAGTGAAAGCAAATAGTAAACTAGATCTGAATTTTGCTACAGATTTTATCATATTTCTGCCTTGGAACCAGCCAACCATGAACTGAGTCCCCTGAAACTATGGGCCAAATTAGCCCTCTCCTCCTTTAAATTGTGGATGCTGGATTTTGTTTCCCAGTGGTGGGAAAACTAATATGTGTACCTCCATGGGTTTCTTAAATTTAAGCATGTGGTAGCCATATTCATCATTATAGCATCTATATTTGTGTACTAGGGCTGCCGTAACAGGATACTACAGTCTTACTGGTTTAAACAGCAGAACTTTATTGTCTTGCAGTTTTAGTTTCTCCCATAACCTCTCTTGCAGCTGGCTATGCTCTCACTGCCTCTTTAAATGATTATCCCTCTCTAAACACAGGCCCTTGGTATCCTTTTTGTGTGTCCAAATTTTCTCCTTTTGTAAGGACATCAGTTGGGTTAGGGTGGGCCCATTGTAGTGATCTCATTTTAACTTAATCACCTCCCTAGAGATGCTGTCTCAAAATATATTCACATTCTGATATCTCGTGAGTCAGAATTTTTACATGAATTTTGAGGAGACACATATCAGCCCATTA